GGTGGTGACTTCTAAAATTGTTAATAATGGAATAAAATTTCTGCCTTCCAGCCTCAGCCGGTGACAGGAATGCTACCGCAGGTATGGTTGTTGTTATTGTTGTTTTATCTGTGTGGGTGATTTGCCTGCGTGTTGGTCTGTGCACCACATGCATGCAGTGGGCATCAGATCCCCTGGAACTGTAGTTATAGATGGTGTGGGTGCCGTGAACATACGCAGGGCCTTCTGAGTATTATTATTATTATTATTATTATTTTTACATATCTTTTCTTTGTAGTGGATATTCGCTCTACCCATGACTTTGGACTTCTCGAATTAATTAATTATTTTTTTTTTGGCTTTGTTTTGTTTGTTTGGCTGGTTGGTTTGGGGTTTTTGAGACAGGGTTTCTCTGTGTAGCCCTGGCTGTCCTGGAACTTGCTCTGTAGACCAGGCTGGCCTTGAACTCAGAGTTTTGCCTGCCTCTGCCTCCTGAGGACTAGGATTAAAGGTGTATGCCACCACCAGCAGCTGTCTCTTCTTTCTTTCCTTCTTTCTTTTCTTTCTTTCTTTCTTTCTTTCTTTCTTTCTTTCTTTCTTTCTTTCTTTCTTTCTTTCTTTCTTTCTTTCTCTTTCTCTCTCTCTCTCTCTTTCTCTCTCTCTCTGTCTCTTTCTCTCTCTCTCCCTTCCTTCCTTCCTTCCTTCTTCCTTTCTTCCTTTCTTTCTTCCTAAGATTTATTTATTCATGTACTCTATGCATATGGGTTTTGTGTGCATTGTTTACATGTATATCTGCACACCAGAAGAGGGCATCAGATCTCATTATAGATGGTTGTAAGCCACTCTGTGGGTGCTGGGAATGGTCTTCAGGACCTCTGGAAGAGCAGCCAGTGCTATGATTATTTTTTTATGTCTTTTCTTAAGCTTTTCTCCCTATAGATAATTTACCCCTCATTCTTTGAAGAGTATTAGGCTCATTCCTAGTTTCTTTCCATTTCTCCATCAGAGAGTAATTTCGGGATTCTTCATCTTCCCAAGTTTATTTTCCTTCTTTTCAAAATGATCTTCTATCCTAAAAGCCATGGGGAAAGACATGACTCCCTTTGACTGGTCCTCAAACCATCTTCTCCCTAGACTACCTTTGGACTTTATTTGGTAGTTAATGAAGTAGGATGTAAATCAGCTTGACTGCAGACTCCATGTTACCGTGGACAAGATGGCTGACATCGGTTCCTGTAATGTCCTGGTAATTCTGATCTGCAGCTGCAGCTGAGACCAGGAGAACAGAGCAAGGGCCCTGTGCCTGAGAATTCTCATTCTTCAGAAAGAGGCCATCAGATTGCAGTGTCACAGTTCACATAGCTACCTGAATAGTCCTAGAAAGACCATTTTTTTTTCCTAGATGAGTTATTTTACTTACTTCTGCTTCCAGGCTGGGAAGCACCTAAATTTCATCTGAGTCAATTTCCTCTTGCTCTGTTTTTGATAAGCAAGAAGGACATGCCCCCAAATACAGAAATAAAATACAAAAATAAAAAAAATGATTTTTGTGCAGACTGCTCCATCTCCCTCCATTCTGTCTCCCTCCTGCCATCCCTTTAACTCTTTGCTTATTAACTGTTTTTATTTGGACGTCCCTATTTTTTCATGTGTTGGGCAGAGTGCCGGGATGAGAAATTTGCTTGCACGAGACTGTACTCTGTCCATCGGCCAGTAAAGCAGTGCGTTCATCAGGTCTGTTTCACCAGGTAAGAGACCCTAGAACGGCCGAGAGCACCTTCAGTGACGGGGATGCTTGTGCCAGTAACTGTTTAATGAATCTCACCGCAGAGCCCCGGTCTTTGATGGGACAGAGGTGGTTAGCATGACCTATCCAGCTAGTTCTGAAGGTGCTGCCTAGAACTGGGCATCTGGGTTTATCCACAAAACAGTCTGATAGATTCCACTGGAGGTGAGGGCCACATAGGAAGGAAGATGGTGAGAGACACTGGTGTGTTGCATCAGCTGACTGCAAGCTGAAGCCAAAGACCAAGCTCTGAAGTGGAAAACAATGGACAGGAGCATTAGTGAGAGATGAAAAGTGCCACTGAGAAGAGTAATTAACACCCTTTCTTTTTGTTTTGTTTTTTATCATGAAAACCGTTTCCATCCCCTGCATTCTGCTGAGGGAAAGATTTTTAAAAATTATGTACTTAAGAAAATCTAGACAGAGTGAAGCCAGTGGGGAATAAGGGATTAAGAGGGACCCTGGCTAGCCCCTCTCATGCCTTCTCTGTCTCCTCCCTTGACTGTGACTTTGACATCGGGGCAGCTTACGGCGCATGTATATCATCAACAATGAGATCTGTTCCCGACTTGTCTGTAAAGAACATGAAGCTATGAAAGGTAAGAAGATCCACTCTTTTGCTTTCCATCAGCCCCTATTAGAAGCTGCACTAAATAAACAAACTGTCTGTATCCCAACCAAGTACCCCGAGGTCCCTTCCCAGCTAGACTGCAACCCCCATCTCTCCCATAGTGAGAATTTTCTGAAGCTGTTTCTAAACTTTATTTTTTAGATAAAAGAAGAAATCTTTAGTGTATGAGTGTTTTGTTCATATGTATGTATGTACACATATGCACACAGCTTGTGGGAGTCAGAGGAAGGCATTAGGGACCCTGAAACTGAAGTTCCAGATGGCTGGAAGCCACCATGTAGATGCTGGGAACTGAACCTGGGTTCTCTGCAAGAGCAGCCAGTGCTCTTAACTGCTGAGCCGTCTCTCTAGCCTTTCTTGGGCTGTTCTAGGTCATCTTTTAGAAGTTCTGGGGAATAGCCAAGTCATCATGACAAATAATAGATTCAAAGGCCAGGTTGATCATCAGCCATGTTCACAGCTCTAAAAAGAGCACAGACACATGAACACATTTGGAGACAGTAGGGTTTAGATAGGAACCATAAAAAATAGGTACGATATTTAAAGGGTAGCTACATTATAAACATTCCACCAATTCAAGAAAAACATTTGTGCTTTATATTATGAAATTGCCAAAGTAGAGGAAGGTGGGAAGATGTTAAAAGAATAATTTTCGAGGCTCCAAAATATGTGGCTGTAGATCATGCATGATGGGAACAAGCATGCTTCTCACCTTCCCCATGGACAGTCCCGAACAGTGGCTGTGGTTGGTGTCAACACCAGACACGGTCCCTTTTGACTCAGCAGCCAGCTTTGCCCTGGGCTGGTGAGTAAGAGCTGTAGTTGACTTCGCAGAAGGAAACTCACTGCTTGCCCCCATTGGCTCTGTGCAAGCCACCTGCAAGGGAAACACCTTGACACTGACTATGAGCTTTTGGAACTCGAGGCTTTCAAGTACCTCGGGGGATTTACTGCAGTTAGTAAACACCTAAATGCGGGCTGAATGACTGGACTTCATTTTTCTATTTAGTAGGTCCATGGTGAGAACTGGGAGCTGGGAGGATAAAGGAAACTAATTTTGCACACATGGTTTCTATTCAGTCCTCACAAACACACCGTTGAGGCAGGTATTAATGCTTATTTACAGAAAGGGACTGAGGTTCATATTAAAGTTAGAAACTTTCTAGTAAGTTGAAAGTATCCAGAAGTGGCAAAGCTGAATGCCTTAACCCGGATCGTCTCCTCCTTCATGTTTTTATTATCCCACATGGAAGCATTTTCTCTTTCCCTTACAAGAGCCCATGCTGCGGCCCGGCATCCTCCCATAATGCTCTGCTTTTCCTCTAGATGAGCTTTGCCGGCAGATGGCAGGCCTGCCTCCAAGACGACTCCGCCGCTCCAACTACTTCCGACTTCCTCCCTGTGAAAACATGAATTTGCAGAGACCCAGCGGTCTGTGATCATCAAGGAAGAAAGTGTGGGTGAGAGGAATCAGACAGTCCTCCTCCTCCAGCCAACGTCGTCTGTCCCATAGACATGTACTTCTTAAACTAAGCCCTTTGCCATGCCCAGGCTTTGACCCGACTGTCTAATTTTCACTGGCACCGGTAACCTTTGTCTCATTTTGCAGTACTGACAATACAGAGTCTACATGGTTGTGTGGTTTTGCTGATTTCCAGTATCATAGACAAAGGTGGACCCATGATGACCACACAGCTTAGGTACATTCTGCATTCAGCCCTCACAGAAGGAAGGGTTCTGGGGAGCGTAGCTCAGTTGGCAGAGAATCCCCCTAGCATGTGGTCAGCCCTAGGTCTGATGGTATAAAGCTGAGCACGGCCGTGCAGGAAGATCAGAAGTTTAAGGTCATCTTGGGCTACATATCAAGTTTGAGGGTAGCCTGGGCTATGTGAGATCCTCATCTCAGAAGATAACTTTAGGTTAATATTCTTTGGTTTTGTTTTGTTTTTTTTTTTTTAATGGTGCTATAGATCAAACTCGGGGCCTTGTACATGCTAGTCAAGTGCTCTGCCATTCAGTTGCACTCCTATCCCCTAATTAGTTAGTAATTGTAATTATCAAATATGTCGGGGATAGGAGCATGGAACAGGCTCCTCAGTTTTGGCTAGCCACAGAACTTCACTCGGTAGCCTTCTAGGTGTTTCCTAGATTAATGCCTCATCATTTACATATGTAAAATGTTGCCTTCAGCTAAGCCCAGAGTCTGGGGAAGAAATGAGAGAGCTCTATCAGGTAAGAAACTTGACCCATAGTTTACTATATCATTTCTTGGGCAAGCTGTCTAATCCAGAAGTAGAGCTGGAAAGTAAACCTCATTTTCTCCCCCATCTCTGGCAGGACGGGGGCCAACCCATCTCCACAAAGCTAACTACACAACCTAATGTGACGCCGTGGCCACAATCATACCAGGACAAAACGCACCCCTCTCCCCTTTGATTTCTGCAAGCACAGCCCCCTGCTTGCCGGGCACAGCCTCTACCACTGGGCCATATCCTCTCCCATTCCATCTTAAATAAGTGACTAATTATGTATCATGAACACTTTTGTCTGGAAAACTCAACTACTTTCTGCAGAATGCAAGGGAGTTCTGGTGAGACTCGGGCAAAGACAATACCCATCCCCACAGAGGGTGGGCTCCTCAATTGACGCTGAGGAAGTAGCCAAGTGGGACCAGGTGCTTGCTATTAGGAAACAATAGAAGCCAATGGGATCTGCAAAACTGATTCAAGAGAGAGCTGGGGGCGGGGGCCGGGCGACCCAAAGCATTCATGTTCTTCCCTCCTCCTCCTCTAGAGTTCAATACACTGGTGTACGGATAGATAGCTGAAAAGCCTATAGCAGCCACAATAGGGAAACCTCCCAGGCTCAGAGATTCACCTGGGCAACTGAAGTATCTTTTCCTGGGACTGGAGACATGACATGGCTCAGTGGTTAAGAGTACTGTCTGCCCGTCTCAAGGCTCCAAGTTCAATTCCCAGCATTCACCATGGGGGCTCACAACCGTTTGTAACTCCAGTTCCAGGTGATCCAGGGCCCTCCTCTGGCCTCTGCAGGCACCAACCACTCACCTGGTGTACAGGTGAACATTTACACACATAAAATAATGAAATAAGAGCAGGGTTAAGGGTACTTCCTCCTCAGTGAGTTCAGTTCCCAGCTCCTGAACACCCTCTTGTGGCCACTGCAGGCACCTGGACACACTTGGCATACTCTTAGACAAACATATACACATAAATAAAATAATTCCTAAACATTAGAGCCTTTTCATAAGGCTTTTAAATACAAAGTTATGATACAGACATTATCCTGTTTTGGTTTTTTGTTTGTTTGTTTGGTTGGTTGGTTTGGTTTTTTGAGACAGGGTTTCTCTGTACAGCCTTGGCTATCCTAGAACTCACTCTATAGACCAGGCTAGCCTCGAACTCACTGAGATCCACCTGCCTCTGCCTCCCGAGTGCTAGGATTAAAGGTGTGCGCCACCGCTGCCCGGCTGGTTACCGTTGCACTGGTTTGATCAGTGCATATTGTGTACATGTACTGGAATATCCTATGTGGGCCAATGAGATGGCTCAGCCAGTAAAGGAGTTTGCTGCCTAGCCTGAAGACCCGAGTTCAATCCCCAGAGCTCATATGCTGGAGAGAGAGAACTGACTCCCTCAAGTCCTACCCGGGCCTCCAACTGGGGTACATGTGTGTGCATGCACACACACAATAAATAAACAAATGTTTTTTAGAAGGAAATATCATATGTTCTTCATAAATGTGTACAATTACTATATTTTTGCCAGAAACTTGTTTTGTTTTGTTTGAGACAGGGTTTCTCTGTGTAGTTTTGGAGCCTTTCCTGGATCTCGCTCTGTAGACCAGGCTGGTCTAGAACTCACAGAGATCCGCCTGCCTCTGCCTCCCAGAGTGCTGGGATTAAAGGCATGCACCTCTGCCACCCGGCGCCAGAAACTTTTAGAAGCATGTTTGAAGACAGGGCTGCGCCAGCTGTTAGATGTATCACTCACACTGCACTTCTGAATCAATTACCGTGTTATACTCCACAAATGCGTATAAGTAAGAATATAAAGTGTCAATACTTAGTGTTTAGTTTAGAAGACTTTCAAAAATTCATCTTGCTCCTGGGATTTTGGAAATATTTTGGAGGGGGTGTCTCTTCAAGAGCTGGGCCCTCCCCCACCTATCAGCTCCTCCATCCCAATGTTGTGTCTATTGCAAATTAAGCATTTTAAAAAATAAATTTTTATCGAATTTCTCAGAATAAAGTGGGTTTGGTTTTGATCTCGTTATTGCTTTGTTTGCTTTTCTTTATTTCTTCTTATTTATTTGATACAGTGTCTCACTGTGTAGTGTTGGCTGGGACTCACTGTGTAAGATTGGGCCACCCTTGAACATATTGTTGTTGTTGTTTGGGTTTTTGTTTTTTGCTTTATGGTTTTTTTTTTTAAATAAAGATTTATTTATTTATTATGTATACAGAAGAGGGCACCAGATCTCATTACAGATGGTTGTGAGCCACCATGTGGTTGCTGGGAATTGAACTCAGGACCTCTGGAAGAGCAGTAGGTGCTCTTAACCTCTGAGCCATCTCTCCAGCCCCCCTGCTTTATGTTTTTTTGAGACAAGTTCTCATGGATGCTTCCATCTGGAACTACTTCATGTGTCCCCATGCCCTGTTTTATGCTCCTCCAGAGATCAAAGCCAGGAGTTCCTTCATGCTAGACAAGCGCTCTGCCAGCTGGGCTACACCTCCAGAACCCCCCCACCCCCCACACACACAATTGATTTTTATCTTTTCTCCTGTGTTTGCAAAACAAAAAGCAAACAAACAAACAAAACCAACAAAAGAAGTTCTTTCGTCACACTTTGAAAACAGACTCTAGCTGTTTGGTTGGAGGTAGCACTTTAATCCCAGCACTCTGGAGGCAGAGGCAGGAGGATCTCTGTGAGGCCAGCCTGGTCTATAGAGTGAGTTCCAGGATAGCCAGGGCTACACAGAGAAACTCTGTCTCGGGGGGGGAAAAGAAGAAGAAGAGGAGGAGGAGGAAGAGGAGGAGGAGGAGGAGGAGGAGGAGGAAGACACAAATTCAGTACTGACCAAATGTCTCCATTCTGCCCCTGTCTGATCTACCCTTCATTCCACACCCTCAACACTCCGAATTCGCTAGCTTGCCTCCAGAGAGGCCCCTTTTCTCTTTGGCAGCCTTGGGGTCCAACAGTCTGTAAAGTTCCACACTTTCCTCTCATTTTCCTTTTGCATGACCAAATGCCTGTGTTTTTGTCACTTCTTAGTGTTCTTGTGTTCTCTATGCTTTCTGTGAGTGTGTGTGCATTGGACATGTGATGTCTGTGTGTGGTTTGTGCATACACATGTGTGAAGGGATGCACCTGTGGGCTCATACCAAGGCCAGAAGAGAACATGAGATGTCCTTCTCTATCACCTTATCCTGCACCCGGAGCCAGGCTCGGCCATCCTGACTCTGAACCCTAACAGGACTGGGGTTGAAGTGTAAGGGTGACTGTGGTGGTATTGTGTTCCCAAAATATTGTGCACCCTAATAAACTTATCTAGGGTCAGAGACAGAACAGCAACAATATTAAACATAGAAGTTAGGCAGTGGTGGCACACACCTTTAATCCTAGCATTCCAGAGGCAGAAATCCATCTGTTCAAGGATACAGCCAAGCATGGTGACTCACGCCTTTAATCCCAGGGAGTGATGGCAGACAGCAGAAAGATATATAAGGTGTGAGGGTTAAGAGTACTGTCTGCCCGTCTCAAGGCTCC